AATTATGCATGGAGTCATTCTGTCATTATCTATGTCAGTGCAAAATGGCCATTATCCCCCTATCATAATATGAGTATTAGGTTGGTGAATTGACGGTGGTAAACAGATTTATTTTTTTCTGAGTAGAATTAGTTCGACCAACATTTTCTGGATTCATATACAGATTAAGGAAGTTTAAAAGCCACTTATGCACACTGAATGGGTGTTTGAAAATATCTTTATTTTCTATAGTACTGCTTTTTGCATGTATATGAATGTGTTACATTCAAGCGGATATGTATGCATGCATGCTGAAATGGGAAGAAACCTTTGTGGAGAAAGTGATCTTATGCTGGTATTTTTTTTCCATCCATAAAGAGAAAATTGAAGATGCTGTAGCAAAGGTCGCTTGTTGGACATGAACTTTAGCCTTGTGAACTCTTTGTGTTTTCATTTTTATAGCAGGTCACTTCAAATGATCCTGTATGATTATAGATTTAGTCAGACTTGTAGCAGATTGTAAGGTTATTTGTGCAGGTGAAGTGCTTTTATAAAAGAAAAAAAAGAGACTTTAACCTTGCTAAGTTGTTACTGTCCATTTGTTTATCTGAATCTTGTGCAGCACAAATGAGTTTCTCACATATGATTCATTCAGTTTTTGAAAACACCGTAGAACTGATGCAACTGAGCACGTTAAAGTAAATCGCAGTGCAGATACTTTAGCCTAAAAAATTGCCCTGCATTTTGTGGGGCTTGAAATACTGAATGGGAAAGGAAAAAGTTTCAGAGTTTCATTTTGTTTATTGGAGTTTTCAATACCATGATGCATTGTTATAAGGGTTTTGTTGCAGCTGTCAGACATTAGAAGTTATTTTGGAACACTTTGACTGTAGACAATTGTTCTCTATCCCAACCGTTGAGCTGTCATTCAGCTGTCATATTTACAAAAGTATGTTCCCAGCCTTGTTCTGAGGACAATAGACCAGCTTCTGAATAAACCATCAGAAACTGTGAGCACACAGATGAACATGCACAAACCCACATACCGTGAAACACCAGCCATATAGTCATCCGTATAAACAAAACACACTATGCCTTTCACCTTTGGAGATTTGACACATTTTGTTGGTCGAAGTGAGTGTGAATTTATTCTTTCATTCCATAATGTCATCTCATCCACTCTCAACACAAAGACATTTTTAAAAAAAATCTCTTCCTTACACCCACTTCCTAAGCAGAACATAAAAGCATTTCCCCTCTACGATGACTGACATGCTAATGTTGTGGTGTCACACAGTCATGCTCATGATGAGGATGAGGAGCAGCAATATTTCCACCGTGACCACAAAAGCGATGATATACAGTGAGATTGACAAAAATGATAGTCCTCCTATTTCTTTTGCTGTGGTGGTCTACAGGTACAAATGCACAGCAGACAGCAAAACATTCTTATGATAACATGTGAGATATCTCCAACATGCATATTTTCCTAAGAACATTTTGTTATCTCTGTATTGTGATGCCAACATATTAAGGGCAGAGTGGGGAGACGTGCTGGAAGCAGTGTTGGCTTAATCCATGTATGTATTTGTGATATAAAAATATAAACAAGCTAACTTGCCACTTAATGCAGAATCAATGTGATAGTAACTCCCATATCACTGCATTATGCAGAATTCCATCAGACATATCCAACAGAGATATGATTATATGATTAAATGGCAAATATATATATATATATATAAAATAAAACAGTCCTGGGCATTACCTTTATTGTTAGTTGGATGGTGAAAAAAGGGAGGGGAGATAGGATTGAATGAAATAAGATAATGGCAGAAGCACACAAAGCAGGGTGCATGATAATTATTCAAATATTACAGTGCTCCATTTTTCCAGAAACTGAGCTACTGTTTCATATTTTTCACAAGCCATTTATGTTTAGAAGTATTAGTATAGAGATTGGTCCACCTGTCACACTGAATAACCAAAGACTATCAATAGTTGTATTTAGATTCATATGTAAAAGTAGAAGTAAGTATATTTGCTCACTGTAGAGCGACTCGTTTCCACACTGAAGAGCAATGCTGTCAATAAGAGTCATGTTGCTCTTAAGTAATGCAAATTGAGTCCTAGCGACTCAATAATGGAGGTTTGCTCCTAATTTTAGCAAAAGTTTTAAAGTCAGCTTCTCACTGGCAAAGTGTGTGAGGACTTTTATTCACATATTTTTGTATGTCTCTGCTGTAAGAAGTTGGAGGACAAAAAATATGAAAATATATTTGTTTTAGCAAAGTGTATTTACGTCAAAGCAGTCTTGCTACAGTGCATGTATATATTTCATAGGATGTGTATATATGCGTGCATGTTAAGTTCTCAAGCAACGGTAGAGGACGCTGTCTGTCGATCTCAGTTGGGTTGTGCTTTAAAGCAGACCTGTGAATTTAAACTGTCTCATAAAAACAGACTTGCTGTTCAGTGTGAGGCTCTGCCTGGCGGGGTGTGCTGTTGTGGCATAGCTGTTGAAGATGCGATCTTGTGGAATAATGCAGCAGTTATTAAATCTCTCTTGGGTTTGTTGGTATTGTGAGGTTCTCATGAAAAGATTTTCCTCTCTCGCCTCTCTGTCTCTTTTACCAGAGACACTGTATCACAGTGTTACTCTGCTGTCGTAGTGCTTTCGAAATTCATCAAATTTATCACAGGACATGGAACTACAATTTGCCACAGCTTGATCATCGTCAACGTGAACAGTGTCATCCACTGTTACCTATGTAATAATTGAGATCTTGTCTTCAAGAGTTTATTTTTTTATTTTTTTTCATTTGGTTGGGTTTTATGAAAAGTTTTGGCTTTAAACTCGCTGTTGCAAAGACAGTAAGACCACTAATGTAAACCCAGAGTTACATAATGTTGATTTCCCACTAAGACAAGAGCAAGCTTAAATGTAATACTTAACCAACAACTCCAAATCAGTGGAGTTAGTCAAAAAAATATCAGTACAAATTATTATTTGTATGTACATAGGCTGCAGGCTAAATGGAAATGATCAGTTCACAAATCTGTTGGATTCTGGTCAAAACCTAGTGATCCATTATAAAGTGGGTCAAAGAAAGGCAAAGGTATTTCTCAAATATTCCTTTGCATAGATTCTATTTTAATACACAGATTAACATCAACAGAAATAAAAGATAAACGTTGACCTTTTTTTTTTCATTTTTGTTCAAGATAAGAGTTAATTATATTTAAAAAAATCAGTAGTAGATTTAATAGTATCAAATCTCTGCCAGAAGTGTCAATAAATGTGTCTGGAAGTGTAGCTTGTGATCACTTTTAAGTATTGAACAGTCTGACTTCAATCGACTCTGACCCTTCTAGTACTCACTGTGGCTGGAAATCAACCACAGTTCCAGAGGACAGTCAGGATAGCAAAAATCCACATAATATTTATAACACCAACCGATCCGAAATCCACTGAGCTAAGCTTATCTTATCTTGTTTACCGACATTACATTATTCTTAATTAGGTTTGATGGTAATTGTTCTGTAGCTCCAAGGTCCTAAAGCTGGCATTAAAAGGTATTAAAGCCCAAGGTCAATAACTTATCATACATGCTGTAAACAACTTTACAAGGACTTCAAAGTTGGCAACTCAGTAAATCTCAATTGTAGTTTTACCAGGTGGAATACTAAACACTTTAATCAGGACACACACACACAAACCCACAACCAGATGGAATAATGATGTAGATGAAGTCAGATGAAAGAATCTATATGTGTCGGTAAGTCTGTCTGTGTCAACATTGATTAGTCGGCAGACAGCTCAATAGTTCTCTCTGGCTTTCTCGTTCAACATGTCTGTTTGCTCCTTTTCTCTTTGTTTTTTTCCCCCCTTTCAACAAGCATCAATTACAGTGAATTGACAGTGATAAAAAGAATGTTTGCACTTGTACAGTTGTAATCTTCAACATTTTGACTTAAATCAATGTTGTTTTGAGAACAGGACAATATATAAATAGAACATTAAATAGGGGGAATTATGCAAAATGTTATTTTTTTTTAGCATTGTATCGTATCAAAATTTTCTTACATCAAAACATATTTGATTAAATCACATATTTGAGCCATTTGGGGGTTCATTTGGAGGACTAATTGATAAACAAGATTTAGCTTCCTGACTGATATGATTTGATGTTGCTTCAATTTTTCTACATAATGATCTTTCCTCATGGTGCCACCTGTTGTACCAGCTCCTCTTGCAGCAAACAGCCCCACAGCATGATGCTGCCACCCCCATACCTCAGTTAGTATGGTACAAGCACCCTGTTTTTTTTTTTCTGTGATGTAACAATGGTTGTCTTGCCCAAACAGTTCCACTTCAGTCATCAGACGATAGAGTATGTCTCCAAAAATGAAAATTATCCGTTTGTGGATTTGCAAACTGAAATCTAACTTTTCATGTTTAAAGGGTTCTTCATATTCAAACTACTTTTCTGAGCAGACTTAAGCTAAGAAAGTGCTGCTGCTGCTTTCTCTGGAATGACATGGTTTGTTGTCCACTGAACTGATGGACCATCATTTGACTTTTACATGCAGTGTATTCTATGAAAGCTACGTGTTGACATGTTCGGGAGGAATCTTTGCGAGTGTGTTTGTGTTGATTTGTATATCCCAAATCCTTTTCTTAGGGGGGTGAAATTGAGTCAGACAGATATCAGTGTGCAATCTCATTCAATCACAGCTGAGCCCTCAGCCTCTCAAGGGGCGGCCTTTTTATTCATAATCACATTACTAATCTGGTGCTAATGGTTACATTTTTTCTATTTTTTAAATCTGTTTTTCACATCATGTTCACAAATGCTTTTAAAGGAAAATGTATTTGCATATACCGACACTACCCTTCTATTAGAGTTTTTAACACTTTTTGGGGGCCTATTTGTAATATGATTTTTTTTCCCCCTTTTTACTTTAACTGTCATTTAACTTTGTAGGAATCTTATCAGTAATTTGTCTCTTTTTGTCAGCTCCACAGATGAACAGTTTCGCTGGAATGCTCAAGGTAAACATCTTTATGAAAGTTTGTAGTATTTTCTGTCTTTGATTTCATCTTGTCATCTAGCAAAAGCTTGCATTGTACATTACATACATTCTGTCACAGCTCACTTTTTTTGCAAGGAGTTTTAAATGTCAGATAATCAACTTAATTTTGATACCAGACAAAGAAAACCTGGGTGAACACCAAATGCATTTTTGACTGATTAATTTATTGCTAAAGACAAAAATCAGCTGATTGTCTCTCCTTTGGAGATATGTTTGATGTTTTGATGTTGCTTTGTAAAAATACTGTTAGTTTTGAAGCCCATGTAACAGGATGCACACCATCCAAAAAAATCTACTCAGTTTAGAAAATATTTTTCCCAAAGATATTGTTCTTTTTGTTGAGTCATGAATGCCGACCTTACCTGAAAAAAGCAAGGACTCTTTCAGATTTTGCTCTGGGTTCTTTTGTGACCTGAAAGACCTGAATGTGGAGAATGCTCTCTTTAACTATGTGTGGTGGGTCAGCCAGTCTGGCTTCACAACTTTTTTCTTTTTCTTTTTTCATCTGAGAAGTTGTGATCAATGTGGGTCACTGTAGTTTGTTCTAAACTTGCTGATATTAATGGCTAGATGGATAAAATCTCGTAGTCCACTTGATGTGACAGAATGGTTCAAGTAATTTTGTGATTTCACAAATCAGGCAGTAATCACACATATTTGTGACTTGTGAAATTGGACTAAAATGTGTTAAATCACAATTATTTGATTTTACTTCGTACATTAGGTGAGGTTGGTTTGGAGAGCAGTTTTTCCCATAATAAATCTCCTTGTCCTTTGAAACTACATTTTATGTTCACTCAGATCATTTTGGTTTGATATTAAAATATGTCATTTTAAATGGAAAAAAAAAAAGAAAAAAAGATGCCCAAGGAATCTAGTAAGTCAATTTAGGTATACACTTTCACAGAAAAACATAGTGAAATACACTTTTGTAGGTTACAAAAGCACACAGATGGTGATGGTTGGTTCACAAACACACTTTTCTCTAAGTGTGTATGTAAATAACACCAGCATCATTTTCTACTTGTTTTTCCCTTATTCTCTTATTTGTCTACTGACTCCTGGATATTCCTGTGTGCATTTGTAACTATGATAAATAGTAGTTGTCTAATATAATAAATACTTCCACATCTTATAATTTTCTGTTGTGGGTAATGCTTTATAGGCCGTTATCGGAAAGAGCCTAGAGTCCTGAGAGACCTCAGTTAGTCACATTTTCTTTCCAGCTTTGTCTTTGACTTCCACTGAATTTCCTTTTTTTCTTATCCATAGCAGATGGACAAAAGGACATCGAGGATGAGTTAACGACTGGTTTAGAGTTAGTCGATTCTTGCATTCGCTCTCTACAGGAATCAGGAATTCTTGATAGCGGAGAACGTAAGTAAACTTAATCGCCTTGTTTTTTTTTTTCACCTTGTCTTTGGCTTGTATGATTTAACTGGTTAAGACCTAAAGCAACATGTGTTCATCAGTTCTGCATATTTTAAATACACTTGAGTTTTACATGGTTTTACTCAATCTGTGTCATTACTGTTGTAATGTTCAGTCAGGCAGTTAACCCTGTCAACATCAAAACAATTAGAGAAGAACAGAACATGCAGTTCTAGGGGAAATTACTCGGTCACTTTTCCCAGAATTTTGAATTTTTCATAAAAATTAAACAAACAAATAATTTAAATAACAAAATCTAATAATAATAGAAAGGTTATTGTGCTGTGTGAGGTCTTGCATGGTGTAAAGTCTAAGATTAAATACATGTAGTTCCAGGAGTAATCACGAGAAAACTTATTTAATGTTAAACTTTGACTTAAAATGATATCAAAGAAATACAAGAAATGATAAAATCAAAATCTTATTGAAGGGCTGCTCTTGTGCTTTGTAAGGTCCTGTTAAATTTTCCGGGCATTTTCTTTTCAGGTCATTGCTTTTGGAACAAGACATTCCCATTTCGCTTATTGTCTGCTGACCTTTTGGATGGCTGATTTAGCTGCAACAAACTCCATTTTAAAAGCACCACAGTATGAAGACTTACACTTAAAAAACATAAAATATGTTCTTTTTCATGCTTCTACAATAACATGCATATTAAGCAGTAAATATCTCTTTCTTCCACTTGTTAGAGGTTTGAATCATTATGCTTACATCCAAAAAACACGAGTTTGTAAGACTTTAAAAAGACAGATCTGATAAATCTCTTGGACACCTGATTGAGCCAGATTTACCTCATTTAGTTTCACATCAAAATGAATAAATTTAGATGTATTTAGTCAAGCTTTTCCTACGGGATTGTGTGCATTTTATTTCCAGTGTAAAATATCTACAAATTTTCCAGCAGTAGAGACATGAAACCCTGACATGTTAATGTTTTCACTCAAAGGCTGCACACAAAGAATCATTTTTAGCTTGCTAGAGAGGGGTTGGTTGAGGGTGATACAGCACATAATTAATTCTGCACAGACACATAATAAAACCTTCCTGTCAAACCAATTTTTACCTCTACACCAGCCTTTTTATACTTTGGTCTATTTACTGGCTATGCATGTTTATTTTACTTTTTTTTAATTCTGTCAAATACATCATAAATATACACAAATGAAAGACATTCAAAAAGCCATTTAATGTTGCACTTCAATAAACCCTTTTGTCTGCAAAATCTTGAAACACCAAACAGGTTCTGCATTCATATAATTTAAAATATGATAAAAAAGTGGTCAAATTACAGAATGCAACCCATTTTTTGCAGAGATACTTGTTGAACTATGCTGATGCAAACATGCTATATTTAATTTGATAGAATGAGATTATCAAATTAGTTTGGTGTTCAAAAAGCAGTTTACCAATTTTCAGTACATATCAGCTGTTAAGACTGTTCTTCCTATGCAAGATCTTGAAACTGTCATTCAAGACTTCATTCATTGCCTTGCAGATTGTTGTAATGCACATTATGTTGGTCAGTCCTCTGAAATATATATTCGTTTAAACTTTGCCTTAGGTTGGCAAATTCACATCCTACCTTGCTTGGATTGTGTTTTCTTTGATGATTCTCCAGCAACAGGGTGCAGAGCAACAATAGTTCATGCAGCAGTTGCAGATGATCAAAGCAAATGCTGTATAAAAATAGCATTGCTGCTTTTTCGTTTGCGTTGTGTGGATAAGACTGCTAATAAGTCTGGTGCAAAAAATGTTTTTAGGACTTGAGCTTTTTTTGTTGTTGAGAGAAGCACATTAAGAGAAGCATTGTATTTAAGCTCTGTACCTATGGAGGCAGGTACAATATATTTATGTAAATGATAGAGAAAAAAATGTGCATTCACATGATAGGATGCAAAAAATGGATGTAAGAGGTATGCCAGGCCAAATGGTGGTAAAAACACAGCAGCAAAGAAAAAAAAAAACACCATGACATCATGTTAATTTGTGAGATTGAGACACATGCAAAATAAAGAAAGGGATAAAGCTTCAAAGTTATTGCAAGGTGCAAAGCAGACACTTTGCATCTTCCAGGATTCAGTTATAAAATCCTAAATAAATTATTCATGTACAACAAATATTTTTGTCTGAAACTCTGTTGAGATGTTGTTATATAAAAGTGACAAATTTTTCTTGGCTACATTGCAACTTATCGTAGTTATTTTGATAATTGCGAGACCTTTGCCATATGATTATTTCGCTCTATCTTATTAAACTAATCGGAATTAATTTGAGTGTAAATTCAGCCAGAGATGTTGAATTTCCTTCATTAGTATGTTAGTATGAAGGCGATGTATAAGTTTGGTATCTGCCAATCCTAATGCCAAACGAACTTCATGTTGCAGGTTTGATGGCTAAGAGAAAGCATACACCATTTCTGTCTCATAACACAGAGCATAACAAGCACCAAAGCTCAGTGACGATGAGTTTAGGAGTTCCTACTCTGACTGCGTAACACAAAAGTGCTGTATTAATAATTCATAAAAAGCCAGGGATGAATCATGATGAAAGAAGACAAGTCTTATGAAGGCGAGAGGCAGAGGAGTTGATCCTGGCTCACAGCGCTCAGAGGGAAAAGCATCCTGGGGAGAGAGGAAAAGAGCAATACAGAGCAAGCAAATAGATAGGGGAAAGGAATGAGAAATGGCAAAAAAATACTTATTACTCTATTTATTTTGTGATAACAAATATTCAGAGTTTCAAGAACTAAACCCTGGTTTTATGTCGCCTTATTTGAGACACTTTTTTTAAACCCCAGTTTGACATATTTACATGCAAAACATGTAAAATTGTTCGAAATTGCCTTCCATAGAGTTGCCTAATTACAACTAAATACAACATTCAAATCTAATGTTACAGTCACTCACCTTTCATTGCAGCAAGCCTGTCTTAACCATAGAACCTCAGCTTATAATATTTCCTATCTAAAAAATAAAAAATAAAAAATCCTTTAGTATTATTCTATTTTAATTGATATAAGTAAATATGGATAGGGTACAAAAATCAGTAGATTTTCGACTGCAGCTGAGACTGTGGCAAGAGGAGGAAGCTCACTTTTATGAAAGTCGAGATGAGATTACAAAGTATTATTAAAGTCATAGTTAAGATTGACCAGCAGGATATTTCTAAATCATTTTCTGCATTAACATTTTAGTGGTGTTTAAGTTGTCATACTGCATTCGTTTAGCCAAACATGTTTTATTAATCTGCATATCTCATCACCAAAAGCAAAGAGGGGGGGAAAAAAAAAAGTTGCTACAAAGATTCTTCCTTTACTTACCTGTTTCACACACTGTCTGAGTGAAGTTTTCAAATGGTATCAGTGGGAAGGTAAACAAGAAGCTCTGTCTGAGCTGTTAGACCTTCCCTCCATCATTACTTTTCGACTCAGCCCTCCTTTTCCCTTCCACTACATTTCTCTGCTCCTCCTTTTCCCATTCTCTGTGTTCTCCTCTGTTTCTCCCTTCCTCGGCTAATAAATTATGTATGCCATCTCCAACTCAGAGTGCTGCACTGCTGCACTATCTGCTCTAAATTGCTGCTCTCTCTCTCTCTCTCTCTTCCCCATTTCACTTTTTGCCTCTCAATCTCTCCTCTTTCACGCCCCCTCTCTTTCTCACTCTTAATCTCTCACTCTCTTTCTCGCACACAAACTCAACTCCAAACCCCCTCTCCGCCTACCCAACCATGCACCACAACGGCCTCAATCGGTAGGACCGGCTCTCCTTTCCCAGAGTTCCTTGCAGCTCAACTCCACCCCGGAGGCTTCGCTCCAGTACTCTGCCAGCTACCATAGCAACCAGACCCTCGCCCTCAGCGACAGCATTTCTGCAGCAACTCCTCAGCGCAGCGGGCAGGTTGGGGGAGCCGTGCACAGCTACAACCAGGTAGGAAACACTGCTGTGGAATGATGGTGATGCAGATGCAAGTGGCGAACACCTCGGACCGGATTGTGTTTGAACTTTTAAGTGTTTGTGAGAACTTTGTGCAGCTGCTGGATGGGGCCAAACATGTTTGTCTTCAGAAGCCTGTGGAGATGCATCTTCTGAAGTGTCTGCCGCCTCACCGTGCAGCTGCACAATTTACAAATTTAAACTTGAAAGAGAATTTATGTTGTATAGTTTAGAATGTTTTTTTTTTTCCTCTGATCCTTGCTGATCCATTTCCTTTAGACATCATGGTTATTGAGTCTATTTGATGAGTGTTTAATTATATGTTTGTAAAGGACCCAAGTTCATTAGCCTTGCTGAAGTCCAGCAACACCAATCCTCCTTCTTAATACATGAACTGGATTTTGATACAGTTTTGATGACAAATTTATGAAAAGCGGTTTAAAGGAAGACCGGTAATTAGTCAGAAATGAGGAAAAAAAATACATAAATGCATGCTGAGAAATCTCAGTACGTGTCTTGTTTAGAACTTGAGAGCAAAAGCGAGAAACGGTCACATATGAATCACAGCAAAGAGAAACCCACCAAATTACTTTAGAGCCTACAGCAGCCAATTATTTCTCATTTTCAAGTCACTAATATTTCAATGGTGATACTGTGACTGGAAACACAGTTACACTTTCAGACACCTACGCATCTGCTTAATCAGTGAGCAGCTGCAGTGCTTTGTTAAAAAAAAAGAAAAGAAAATATATATATATATATATATCAGGAACAAATGTTTCATTTGCCAAAGATGAAACAAAAGTAATCAAGTTACTTAATATTTGCTGACTTTAAACCAGAGCTCAAACTAAGAGGCATCTATTAAACTTTTGGGAATTCATTTTACTTGTTTGACTTTTGCTACATTCTCGCCGTCTTACAAACACAGAACGGGACGCCCTTTGCTTCAGATGAAGCTCAGAGTTTTCCTCTATTTGAATATGTAACACATGAGAAAAAGATTGAAGGAAAAAAAATAGAGCGACGGATGAATGTTACATATTTTTTTCGCCCCTTTCTGCAGTGTTCCTGTCCTCCTTTCCCACCTCTCATCCTCCTTCCCCTGTCCTTTCTCCTCACCATCTCTGTCCATGTGAGCGTGTGTTTGTGTGCTCTTTCCTCTGATGTTTGGGCTTGTCAGTGTAATGGGGATACTGCTGTCAGCAGAGTTTTGTTGCTCATGAATAGCTTTATGTATGCCAGAACTGGGAGATAGGGAGGTTCAGCTTGCATACATGTACTGTACAAGAATTGTTAAGCGTATGCAGCTCTGTGTACACAACAGGGGGTGTTACTATAACATGTAATTATTCAAAGGATGGATTTGTTTAATGTTGGTTTGAGTGACTGTTTAAAGAAAAGGGAAAGAGTGAAACAAAAGGTTTATCATGTTTCTTCTCTATTGTAGGATATTTTTAACCCAAAGTGGTCTTGCTTTAATAATACATGGCTACTGAAGCATCCCTGTCTGTTACTGATGTGAGGAGAAGATAAAGTGAAATCACAGTTTTTTGGGATTTTTTTTCTGTTAGTCACCTCAACCAATCATTAGACTTTTACTTATTATTCATTTACACATTGATCCATTCAGACTCTATTCGTTAATGAGCTTTCTAACTTCTGAGCAAACCTGTAGCTTGAAACTAAGTTGATCACTGCTTTTTCAAAGTAATTTATCAGTTATTGATAGAGTATTTAAGCAGTTGGCTGTGCTTTATATCACCAGCTCCCAATCTTCAACTTGGTTTTATGACCCATTAACCAATTCTGAACACTTAAAGAACTCCTCAAATCTGAAGCCCATAATCTTCTCTTCACTGTTGATACTGGGACTTGCTTACCATTAAGCTCTTCTTGAAGGTGTTATCATGACAACAATCGATCATGAAAGCTCTTAACTATCAAAGATGTGTTATCTTGATTTGTTTGTGGCTTTGGGTTTGTCAGACCTCTTCCTCTTCCAGTTTCTGAGTTCATCTTAAAGATGAACTCAGACTGACACCTTGACTCTCCTTGAATTTCTCTGTAGGAAAGACCTACATTTATACAGGCTATGATGTTCTGTCTCTTAATTGCCCCTTTCTTGCCGTTTTTGTAGCTGCAAACTTCTTTCTGCTGCACATACTGATCAATAGATGCTCTTGAAGCATCTATTCCAACTCCACTTTTATGCAGACACTTGAATTAGTTCCACATCAACTTCCAAGGCTTGATCAACCTCAGAACAGTTGTGGATCATTTTGTGTTCCCTGAAAGATACTTTACAATTCTTTAACCATCACTGACCTCTGCACCATTTTATATATATGCACAAGTTTAGTTCAGAGTTGGAACAGAGTTGGTTGAGATGATAGGGCAAAAGAAAATAAGGAGAACAAAAAATACAAATAGTCTATTAAGAACACAACATCGGCCCGATCACACAGTTGTGAACATAATGACGATCACAGGAGAGTCTTATTTTGACAAAAGCCTCATTTTTACCTGAAAAGAGGAGAAGATATTCAAACATACTAAACTTTTAAGTTTCAACCTGATTAAAACATTTTCATAGGATTGTAAAAGATTATCTTTCAGAAAAATGTAAATATGTTCACAACAATAAATGTGACATTTAAAAGTAAACAGAAAATACTTGCTAGCTTCAATAATAAGGTTTACTACATTTTGTCATTGAGCTTCTGCTCTTATCAATGAATAACAATGTCTTCCTTAACTATGTGATATTAAAGACTTTTACCTTACATTTTACTTGCTTACATCACTCTGAATCTCTGAGCTTCTAGAACAGAATCGTGTTTACAATAATACGTTTTTTGAGCTTCATTATCATGACGACTTGTGGATTGGAATCGTAAAAAGAAAATATCTGTTTCAAGGGAAAAGAAAAAAAAAATAAGCAGACTGTACTGTGAACATGTTTAAATGATAAAACATATGCATGTGGAAAAACAGTTCAGTAAATACGAACCATAGGGGATCATACATTTATGACCCAGCGCCTTTTCCATTTCCCCCTCCTCTTTCTTCCTGAACAACTGGGGCAACAGTGGCTGAGGGGTTAGAGGTTTGTCCAGTTCAAACCCCCGCTCTGTTTGTCTCAGCTGTTGTGTCCTTGGGAGTAACACTTCACCCACCCTGCTTGCTGGTGGTCTGAGGGTGATGCCGTTTGATTGGCAGCCTCGCTTCTGTCATTCTGCCCCAGGCCAGCTTTGGCTACAGTGAAGCTCACGACCATCAGTGTTGATGTATCTATGCTTGGTGTGTGTAAGGTGCTTGGAGTTTTCAGACTTGGTAAAGGTCTATACAAATGCTGGCCACTTAGCATTTACATAGTCAATTTTCATTTTTTGTTTCAGTGTATTCTCTCATCTCTACCCATCTTTTTCTTTTATGAGCTGTTTGTCAAAAATAGTGATGGAAAAAATAGTTGTCATAATTGCATCTTGAAAACACAAACAAAAAAAAAATAATAATAAAAACAAAAACAGCTGCAACCACATGTTTGCTTTCAATAAGAAGTACATTGGAACTTATTGTAAGGCGAAAAACATAACCAGAAACAGCCTCTGGAAAAATAATGGAAGCCCTGCAAATATAGCAGGATGGAAGCCCTGTTCATCCTGCTATATTTGTCTCTGGAAGATTTGCTGAGCAGGCAGGTTTTCTTTCCTCCTTGGTGTGGCTACACAACAGAGAAGCTGCAGATATTAACACCTGGAAACAATTTAAGAATATAACTTTCAGACACAACCCCAGTGCATATGTGCATGCACACAAGCATCATTAGCTGTTTCATGTTATCAGGATATTGTCAAAAGCTTTTGAAAGTGTGTTTTTATTTGTGTATTTGTTGTAGAGTAAAAGGACAATTGAAAGATAATGGAGCAAATTCTCACATGACTTTTTTATTTTTTTATATTTTTTATAGTTATATTTTTTTATTTTATTATTTTATACTTCCGGATTTTTTATTCTGTTGCTCTGATAACAGTAAAACATGTTCGAATGTGAATTCTTGACTGTGCTGTGTCATGCCAGCAATAACATAGTTTAAAATCTATTCAGCTAAATTGTTAAGTTGAAACTCTTGAGAGCCCGTGAGGCGATCTGGGTTTTGTTGTATCGCCTTTCGACCGGATTGAGCAGAGAGATTATTGTTGATCCCTGGTAAAACATCTCACTGCGTCTCAGGGGAAACAACTTTTGTTTGTGTGTACTTCATAGGGGTCAAAGCTGTCAGAAGAATTTTAAAATGTCTTTTGAAAATGGGGATAGTACAACATTGAACTTAAATTACAAACTTGTATACAAAAAAATAAAATTTTGTTTTATCAGACAAGAAGAAAAAATGAAGACAATATGACTTTTGTAATCCTTTCTTCTACACTGAGTATGTGGTGCAGCCGGGTTTGATTAGAAATTACGCCTTTTATCTAAGCTTGACTGACTTTTTCTGAAAATCTCTTTTAATCTTCATTGACTTTAACAATAAAGTGTCATTATTAGCTACTTTAGGTTATTTTGTTTTGTCCCTCAGAGGACTGAGTGCTCTTAATGTATGTAAAGTTTTTAATAATGACTATAAGCTACATGCAAAGGCTGTTTGAACTCTTGTTTGATCCTTCTTCAGTTTCAGTCCCCCTCCCCCTGCCACCTCCTTGTTACGGCTGTTCTCTTCCAACTTGCTCTGTTTCCTTTTATCTCTTCAGGTGACATCTAGTCGTGCAGCCCAGCAGCAACAATCACAAACTGGAGCAGGATCAGGTAGGCATTTACTTTTTTTTAAAATTTATTTTATATTTTTCCTTATTCGTTTCCCTTCTTTGAAATGTATTTTCCTCATGATGCCTGCATAGCATTCATTTCCTTCGTACTACTGATACTCAGGGACTTTTTAATATTTGTGAGAAATGCTTTCTCTTCTATTTTGTGGTTTTAGTTGCTGACTTATTCTTTTTGTCTTGTTAACTGCTTTTGATTTTTCTTTTTGCTGACTTTTATACACTCTGCCAGTACTTGGTGGACCTCTGTTTTAAAGGTTGTTATAAGGCATCAGCCTTATAACAACCTCACCCTTTCCCTCTCTTCCCCTAAGGAATTTACTACTCCAGCTCTACTTTACCTGCTCAGCGGGTCAGTTCCCCCCTTTCTGGGGGAGGAGGCTCAGGGTCAGGCTCTCCCAGCAAACACCAGCGTTTGGGATCAGCCTCCGACACGCCAGGTTATTCCACTACCCAACGCCTGCCTTCCTCTTCCCCCTCTTCCTCTCCCAGCAAACAGTCTCCTGCTAACCGACTGGCCAAGTCATACAGGTAGACCATCACATTCATTGGGTCTCTAACGTTTAATTTTTTGTGTTAATGATGCTGAAGCACGCACACTTAAGATATGCACACTCACATTCATCCAACTAAATTCTTTATTTTTTTTTTTTTTTCTAGTAGTACGGTTGCTGTAACAACAGCAGGAGGTGGGTCACCACTGAGGGTTGCATCTCCGCCAAATTCTACAGCAACAGGAGGAGGGAACAGTTCATCATCGTCCCCTCTTCACCAGGTAACACACTGTCTCTTCTCGAATGGTGCTTCACATACGGGAGTCATTTTTTCAAAGCATGTGCCAGAAATGATCAAATGTATATCTATTAATGTTTGTGGTGGGAATGAAGCATTTTTTTCTATAGGTTGTGTGCTCCTTCAATATGTTGAGATATGTTTGTGATGTCTGAAGTTAAATATTTATGTGGTTTATCTTACTCTGCATTGTCATTATTTGCTGACAAAGTCAATATGGGAGGCTTTGTACTGTGTGGTATGAGAAAAATATTGTTGCAAATGTGTTTGCTATGTTGTAATTTGACACTTCGGCACAGAAACAAAGGAAACCGAGAAGGTCTTTGTCATAAACTTGGTGTTTGATTCCCATCGGAATTGATAAAAAGTAGTTTTCATATGTTTTTGCTTAGTTTTATACATTATACACATACAAAAAAATAATAATATTGGAATATATCTGTGCATACATATTTTACTTTAAAATTTTAAATTGAGTTTTTTACAATTCTGCTCTTGTATTTATTTATGTTTTTTCTAACAGGACATTAAGCAAATGTGTATTTTATTCAAACTATGTTTTGTTTTTGTTAAACTGAGTTACTGCAATAGACTGACTATTAATGCAGTTAGTGTGCTATCATTTGATCCTCTTTTGTCGGAGGCTGTTGTACACAAAGCAACATTATTTGCGTATTTGGTTGAATTACATTGGTTGTGTTTTTTCCATCCATAATAGTCTCTCTTCAAGATATTGACTTCAACCTTAAGAAAACTTGACTGAAAGAAATGAAAAGAGAGAAATGCTACTCATATCACTTAGCTGTTACAGTTTTGGCTGCCAGCACACAGCAACCTAGGCATACCATTCTTTTTTGCTTACAGCAAATCAAAACAAAGCATAGCCAATAAAAATGGCCTGTGTTTGCAGATGAGTTCTGGCATAGGGAGCTATGCCACTTTGTCTCCTAAGCGTCTGGCAGCTCACCACGCCTCCGACCAATACAAGATCTCTCACGAGCTCTACGCTACTGCTACACTACAGAGACCCGGCAGTCTGGCAGGTGAGAATTTACTTATTTATTTACCCAGTTTAAAATTATATGTTTGTAGATGAACCCAATGTGCTCTTATTATTTTATTTTTTTAAATTGTCACCTGTTGCAATGACTTAGCTTACTCAAAACCTAGTTCTTTTTTGTTTTTTTTTGCTTAATTATTTTTTTGTTTTTATGTTTGTTTTGAATTTTAGAGATCACTTAAAAGTCTTCATTTAAAAAAAAAATCATTCTTCTCTTTTCTGTTGACTTGTCTGAGAGCTTTTGATCGTTGTTCTTCCCTCAGTGGATCAAATTGATTGACTCGCTTTACTGGTGTTTTAGTCCTCTTGGATGAAATCTGCATTCTGAAGTAGTGATTATTTTGTTATTGATTAGTCAATTAAACTTGGTAATAAATCAATAAAACCTCTGCTTGCAGGTAATTTCGGGAACACTTTTGGTTTTCATTTTCTTGAAGACTTAAAGGAAATAGGAAAGAAAAATCTTCATATTGAAATCTGTACATTGTACTTTAATTATGAAGAATAAAAATTTAACTGGAAAAAATTTAGGCAAAACTAATTGAATTTATTAGTCGAATTAACAACACCAATATGAATAGTTGCAATTGCTAAATAATAGGTGGTATTATATTTCCCAGATGTAGTGAAATTGATGCATTGTAAGTTTAGTTCTTTTTAGCAAACACACAGAATTGTAAGGCATCATAGGACAACATTCGACTTTTGCACGTCCTTTTTTAATATTTCAGCAAGTGAAATATTTCAGAAGAGAATATTTATCTTTTTTTTCTTTTGAAATCCCCTTTGCTTTGAAAGAAAGAGGTCATTACTTAAGCAAGTGAGCTCTTGTGAGACACAAAATAAATGAATAGCGAAATAAAACCAACTCTAAGATGAAAGGCATGGGTGGAAGAAAAAGAGCTGGGATGAGTCATAATATTAATGGGTGTGTCTACGACTTCAATTCTTGATCCTTCATAATTATTTGAGTTTAGTTCAGCTTCTTTTTTACCCGCTCTTTTTTTTTTTTTTTAGTTTGAAGTTATTATAATATCTTTCTAATGCATGTTTCATATTTTTACTCCATTTTTGACTCATGATATTCAATTTGTTCTCTCAGTAACGATGGCCAGTAAAGTAATGTAGCTTCATGCTTTATCTCCTGCTGGGGTTATTTGGATACTTAGTTAAACTGTGTGTGTCAGTGAAAGAGCCATCTTGATACTAGCATGCAAGATTTATATCATAAGGCTCTATTTCAGCATTTGATCATGTCCAAGCCTGACAGTGCAGGTATGCTGTGGTATAAGGCTTCTTGTTTCACTTCATTACAAAGATCGATCAAGAAAGTAGATTCCGGGTAATCACTATGTTCTGTCTGAGTGTATATTGCATTCAATCATAACCTCTGCTTAGGAAGTACCTACAAGCTACTATATCTGCTTGATTCTCTTTACATGACAAAACGCTTCACATGTTTTGAAGACTTGTCACCTTGAGTGACTTTATTTACTTGGAGGCCCGGATCTAGCAGTACTGCCCCTTCCTTCTTTGGAAAATGCCCGGCACACAACTTGCAATCCTCTGAGAACTAATATGATGTGATAAGACATTAGTTCCACTGGATCATTTCTTTCTCTGTCACTCAGAGCTTTTGTATGCGTGTGGTTGTGTGATCTCATTTTATCTCCTGCCATGTCAGCTTAGCCCTTCCGACTTGTCTTTGGGTTTCCTGAGTGTGCCCCTTTTCAGCCGTTTTCTAATTGTTATATTTTGTTTTGCTTACAGAGGAAGGCTACTCTCTTGCACTTGTTCTGCTGTGTTTTGAACAAATGCCCGTTGTCAGTTATTCTTTTCCCCCTGCCCTCTGTCTGTGGGATTCCTGCCAAACACAGGAAGCGAGGGGACATTGCATCTCATTACGTTCCAGCTGACAAAAAGCAATGTGTGCTATGCAGATTAAAACAATGAAAAACAGACACATCATTCTCTTGCTTTCTGTCTCTTTCAATCTCTCTGTCTCTTCTATCCTTTTTGTCTGGTATACATGTTTCTGTTTGGGTGTGTGTGTGGTTTAAGGGAGTTCTAACTCACTAGTTTTTTTATGCAAATTGTGCTAGTTATTCTCAAGCACACACAATCTCAGCTTTTCATAACAGCAAAACTAAATTATAGCTTACAAATGTGCAGGTCTACAAGCAGCTTCATTTTAGAAATGTTTGGCTGCCAGGGGTCAAAGTTTTTATTTCTTTTTTGTTATTGCCAGTAATTTTTAATCAACTGTTATGCAATATTTCCAACTTTTCTTCTTCTCACTTCCTCAATCCATTTGCTGCTATATTCATTTGTGATTAATAAGATATTTTCTTTTCAGACCTACTCTCTCAGTTGCCTCTATACATCATCTTAGACTTCACTCCTTAATTCTTCATTGCCCTGTCTCCCTTACTATGTCATGAAAAAGTTCCCAATGTTCTCTTTACTTTCATGTCATAAGATTGATAAACTGACCTCACACAGACAACTTGCAGTGTCATAAAACAGCAGGAGATTGGTCCTTCATGCTTGCGACTAATCCTGCTGCTTTCCTGTACCCAGAACTTATCGCAATCAAAGTCGTCTTCTTTAACATCAAACATAGACCCCTTTTCTTCACAAAAGACAAATGGCTCGCCAAAACATTTGATGCATGACAATCCACAACTTCACAGCTGTAGTTCAATCAACCTTCCCTTCCTTTTGTTGGGAAACAGCCTCACACTTTGACCGCCTTCTGTAACAAGATCTACTGACCACAACCTATAAAAGACAGCCAGGACGAGCAGTTAGCTAAATCAGGCTTGACAGACTCCTTTAACCATCCACCAAATGTATTTCACTTTGTGTCATCCCTTTCATTTTGTCAATTTAAACCATAAAATTTCCCCCCTCTTTCATACAGGCTCTCGTGGCTCCTACAGTAGTCAACACAGTCAAGAAGCTCTTCGGCCCTTAGGGTCCCCCGAGCACCACATAGATCCTATCTATGAGGAACGTGTCTATCACAACAAGGGCCCTATGAGGAGCCTTAGTCAGAGCCAGGGACCAGATACAGGCCCCTACCGCAACAACACTGGTAAAAGACTACTTCATTTGTCAAAACAATTATAGTTATGTTGTCTTTGAGTGTTTATATATATATATATATATATATATATATATATATATATATATATATATATATATATATATATATATATATATATATTTACCATGTGTTCAATGTTTGAATATTTTTGTTTTGATTTTATCCTAAACAAACACTTTGAAGAATAGTAACTGAATAACCTATATCAGGCAGAAATAAAATAAATTATATTTTTGTTCAGTGAATTTAGATAAAAAACCTGGCTAGAAAAAAATATATACAATACGTCTACCAAAGTTAATAAAAAAATAACTTTGGTAGACGTAGTTTCCATTCTTATTTCTTAATTCATTTGATTTGTATCCTTTATTTAAATGCATGCAGCTGTGTTAAGGCCCCTTGGATTTTGACACAGGTTTTTTTTTGTTTGTTTCTGTTGCATAGTGTATGTGTGTGATTGGATCCAACAAGGAATTTTGTTGGATTTAAATTATATCTCAGAACATATTAATACTGAAAGCTGACTACATACTAACAATACTACTACAAACAGCCAGCAGTGTTTGTCACAAAGAAGAGCTACGGTATAGACAAGACAAGAGGTCTGTATAGGTTTGTATGACTGGTCAGCTGTATATCAGATCCTCAAGACTAAATACACAAGCTTGATTTTTACAATCTTGAAGCAATCGTGTTTTCCATAAAAAATAAATAAATAAATAAAAGAGCTAGCTCGCTAGCTGCAGACGTGCAGAGGATGTTTATCTGAACTTGTTTCTAAAAATTTTGTAGCTGAATTTTGGCCCAAATACTGCCTTAGGTAGCTTGTACTTAGTTCGGTGTAACTAGCAAGTATTTTTCTTTTATTTCATTTTTTGGGGAAATTGGAGAGGCTGGAATTCAAAACAAAGTTTCTTGAGTTGCCTGAGTAAAAGCTAAACACATATTTGCTTCTGCAATACTATCTGCACCTGCTATGAATGAATAGTTTCTAAATATTGTCACCTTGATTCTGCAAGTGTCTTTTCAGAAATATGGTCTCAGATTAGATATTTGTGACAGCCAGATTCAATTTGCTTGCATTGCTGTCAGATGTTTGTGTGAGGAATGTGACAGTAAATAAAAGAATGCCCTGAATCGCTTGCTTCCACAATACAAATCTTTTGTACGTGTTCTAAAGCAAATATTTGTTGAACAGAAACATCCCAAGGACAAGAAAGTTTTACTTTAAATGGTGTGCAATTCTTTTCCAAGAGCAGCTTCTTCAGTTCATTCATAAAGTATCTCTAGCGTCCATTTGTAGATCTCAAAACAGAAAAGACTAATGTCCCAATGAACGACATTTTAATCATGCTCTTCAATTTGTTAAGATATTTCTATTATTAAACAAAAACAAACAACAAAAAAACAATAAACATCTCAAGCATCCACCCATTTCTTTCTCACTCCCTTTTCTGCAAACCTGACACCAATAGGGTGCTGCTGTTTTCCTTGTCTAAGCGAGGTTCACCTCTTTCTGTGTACTATCATTTAATCTTAGTCTGACCCCTAACCTGAGGAAGATTTGCCATGAGAGACTCTGCTTGGAGCTGAATCGCAAGACAGCATGGCTCCTAGGATTATACGGATACTAAAACCCCTCCACATCCTCAAAGCCTCAAAGCGGATATTTTTGCCACTTAAAACTTTTTCTACATCCAGGTGTCCATCCTAGCATCCCTTTACTTGTTTTCTTTTCTGTCATTCTTACCCATTTCCAGAAACTGCACCCAATGGTGAACTTTAGAAAACACATAATAGAGAAATTGAGCTACGTAAAATACACCAAGAAAACACTTTTTTTGAGTAAATTGTTTTTTCTTTTTTTGTAATGAATAACAGCAGGACATATTTTCTATCAAAGACACACTGCCAGCTCCCTCTACAATTTCATTGTTGCCTGCAATGTGTTTTTAATAGACCTTCAATGAGCTTATCTCAATGTGGGTTTCGGTACGCCATGTTAATCCCATTATGGTATAAAAACGCCCAAGTTTGTCATGCCACATTCACATGTTCCTCTGTATCATTAACCAGCCTTGACAAAATAGCTATCATTATCATTTAGGTCACAATTATAGCAATATATATGCAGATGTAGTGTTTGCCAATCTTTGTCTTAATAAAAAGGAGTAATCTTTAAACCCTTCTAATGCTTTTCTGAACTGTATGTTAAATTTCAGTTCATCAATGCTTTAGCAGAATTCAAACACTGCAAGTCGATTTCTGAACAAAATTGACTTCACAGCAGTGAATTAAATAAATTGAAGAGAAAGATATGCAGGGAGAATGTAGTTTTGTGTTATTTAGTTTGGCCTTTGATGATGAGAAGATTTATTGAAATTTGTTTGAATTCAATGCACTGGAAGTCTATGTTGCCATAAACATTATTTACTGCAATTCTTGTAGTTTTTTATGAACGCAGTGGAAAACCAACACACCAAAGATAAATGTAACCTTTTACTCACCATGCCACTAAATTAAGATTTGGTCTTGTTTAAAAGTCCTGTGCATTCTATGTGCAATGAACAGAGGTTGTCTAATAGGGATTTATAATGCACTGACTGATGGCACATAATGAACTGATAAGGGTTGTGCTGACATAGTGAGCAGTAAGTCATTAATTATGTCACAGTGCCTTTTCTTGGCAATGGCAAGCTCGCATTATTGGTTCATTAAGCTGGCATGGATCAATGTAATTAATGCTATAAGTCATTCTTTTGCTGAAAAGGAATGGGAGATGTTTCTGTGGGCGGCATCAAAAATCACCACGTTGTAATTGGTAGGTCTATATTTCTCCCTCATATTTTATTTTTTGCAAACAGTGTTTTGAGGCCCTTTTAAATCTTAGATTTTTTATTTAAGTTTAACAACAACAACAAAAAAAAAGATTCTGAGAGAAACAGTGGACAGAATATCTAAGATATTTTTTCTGATATACATTATAAATGCTTGAAAATCTACTTTCTTGTATAAGTTTTATTTAGTTGTGAGTTCCAGATATTCCAAGGAAACTGCTCCCCTCTGCCTTTCACCGATCTTCTGATTTCCATACCACACAGTTTTTTTCAGTGCAGCACAGTTAGTTTGATCCTTAATGCTTGATTTTAAAAAAAAGATAAAACAATGCACAGATAATGCTCATATCTGGTTTAGCTGAATACAAGTGAAGGGGCTCTCTTACTTGGAATAGCAAAAGTATTTTAACATTTCAATGACAAACAACAGATATGAGGCAAAACTTTAATTTAAATACATTCTTTACTCACCTCATCTTTTCTATGGGCCATACTTAAAACTGCCACTATCAGTGGTAGTTTTTAATGTTTCAATTAAAAATTGTCACTGCTTTCCCAAGCAGCTTGTTAGTGTTAGATAAGCAACACATTGCAGTTTGGATACATTTTACAACGCTAACTGTGTATCTTTAATGTCAATGTTTTGTTGCATGAATAAGTGTCTGTGTGGTTTTGTGACATACATGTCAGTCATATGCATTGTGTGTAGGCTGTGGTGCATGCATTTCATTCTTGAATAAAACTAGGACAGTGCCCAAGAGGACCACAGGTTAATGTGGCCTATTTTAAGCAAATATTCTTGGCTCAGTGTCTCTAATGTACACATGCATTCAAATGATGCTGATTCACTGCAGGATGACTCTGCAAGGCCTCGTGTGTTCCAAAAGGCTTTCATTTTTATTTCCACATATATGCAATATATGCAAATCTTACAGTCTCCACCCATGTAGTGAGCTCATGGTTGTTTGCTGCTTCTTCTATTTTTTCTCTTCCTACACATTTTTGTTGTAACCCATAGTGTCTTATCCTTGTTTGTTACCTTTTCTGACTTTTTCTTTTTTCATTTTTTTATTTTTCAAATTTTCTTCTTGCATTGTCTTTGTGCCATACTTTTACATCATGAACTTCGCCTCAGGTCGTATTAATGACTCTGACCACCGGGAATAACTGCCGTAAGAATGGATGTGGCTCCTTTTCTTCTTAATAGCTTAACATTAGGTCTGTGTGCAGCCCAAGTAGTGGCAGTTTGAATTAGCTGTTTCAGTGCACTGGCTTTTTATCAGATCCCTCCTTTAACAAGATAGAATTACTACTATTGATAAGATTTCCATTCTTAAGACCACTCCCCACAGCATCTTTGAAGTAGATGGCTACACATTCTTTAGCAATTTGTTCCCCAAAAGACATTTTAAAGTGGTGGTATTATGTAATTTCCAGGCACATGGTGCCATTTTGGAGCACAAACAAGAGACTATGTTACCCTCAGTTGTTAAAAAATGCTATTTATGTCAAACATAATTAAAAGAAATTTGACTTTGAAATTTGATGCATTGAAATTGGCCTCTGTCTCTTTAAGGATCTCAAGCTCTTCCTGACACTCCACCACCTGTGTTGCCATCACAACAAGGACTTTCCATAATGCCTTCAACCGTTCTTGGGAGTGTTGGACTGACAAGTATTTTGTATAATAAGCCCAGCATTGCATTTCCTCCAGGTGTTTGCTTACTACTGCAGCCACTAGTCTGATGGAGCCATGTGGGGAGGGGAAGCTCGGATGAAGGCCCCACAGAGGAACTTTGTAGAAATAGGCACCGCTTTGTGACAGCAAGTGTTTATCAGGTTGTTGAGCCTTTTTAGGTCCCTGGATCTATCGCTGCTGGAACACTCACAACAACAGACTTTTAAAAGATATAAAAGATATACAGTGTCTTGCTTCTAACCTTGTAGGATCTTGGCTTCCTCAAGAAGAAACAAGTGTCTGTCCTTTCTTGTCGATGGCTTCAGTATTGCGTCTCCAGTCCAGTCTCAGTATCCAGATTAACACAAAGTATATATTGTGAGGGTGTGAAGCAACTCTTTCTCCTGAAATCTACAATCAACTCTTATACATTCAAGATGAAATATGATTCTTTAAACAACTTCAAAATATTT